TAGGAGAACTTAGCTTGATAGACAGCTTTCGCCTACACAGCCGCCCCTGCAGGCGAGGTCTTGAGAAGCTGTCATAGCCACTTCTCAACAGGCTGTAAAAGATATATATTGCAAATAAATTACCCCTAGGAGGTATTATGTCAGCATATTTTATTAACTGATTGCTGACTGGAAAACTTACTTGTGTGGACTGAAAGGTCCGCTCCTCACCAGGGTTTATGATAAGTTACTAGATCATAATTTTGTTCTCAACTGCGCAGTCAATAGGACTCGAATACGTCTTAGTACACTTACCTGGGTATATGTATCTGACCCATAGTTACACACGGATATCCGATGACTTGATTGAAGAATAGTGTTCGTTGAAGAATGTCGCACCACACTGTTGGATCGCAACACTCGTTACACTGTTCATCAAGATTTGTTCATTTATTCACAATCTGTTTACTAAAGAAGCTGATCACACTTCTCTGTAAGTGTCTGTGTTTTGTGAGACACTTTGTTCACACTAACGCATGGATCAGTGTTCTTTGTTGGTTGTCCTGGCATCAGTGTGAGTCACAGTAGGGCAAAAAGTAATCTGACCTCACAGCGTCTCCCCGCACCTCGCTTGTCCCCAGCATAAAGGAAACGATGACCTAGTACATTTTGCTTCTTTGCCAAACTTCCACTAGGAAGCAAAGCAGAATGATTGATTCTTGCTGTCTTAAGCATAGACAACAACGTACACTATCTTTACCATGGTAATAAAGTGGGAGCAGGATTTTCCTTAATTGTCCTGCTAAGGTAAGAGATGGACTGTCTCTTATTAAACTAAACTATTTGCAACACTGGACTCTTGCAAGAAGCCGCAGCCACGTCACATACTCGTACTGCATCTGGGATCAATTACTTGATATAGCAGTAAACAAGATGTTTGCCCCTTCTGAGAGGGCTGGGCCCCTCATGGCTGAAAGGGACTGAAGGGGGCTGACACCCCCTCCTGGAGAAAATTTCTCCACATCATTCCAACACTGAATTACTTATTGCCAAGGTTCAAAAAAAAATGTTGTGCTATGTTGAGAGGTTAGTATAAATGGAAGACATGCAAGTGGCAATCATGAATCTTAGTACAGTATTCTGTTGATGGTCAGTTTCTCAACATTTGAATGTGTCTTACTATTAGTAGTCATTATCTTTTGTATGTGTCATTATCTTTTTATACATGTCATTATCTCTTTGAAGACTGAGACACTTATGCAACATATGGGAATCTTTATTGAGGAAACGTTTTGCCACACAGTGGCTTCATCAGTCCAATACAAATCAGAAGGGTGTAAGGAGAGGAGAAGTTTGATGTAATCAGTCCCTCAGCCTGGAGTCAATGTGTTCAGTCCATCAATCTTGTTGAAAGTACAGCATAGGGCCATAGACGTGGCTTATATACTGTAGTCAGGTGAGGCGAAGCAGGAGGAGGCAGGGTCATAGTGGTACCATCCACTAGTTGATGTAGATCTTCGTCCAAAGGTTGGACAAGGTTGAAGAATTCTTTGTATGAATATCACATGATGTTGCAGTATCTGACAGTTGTGATAAATGGTTTAAAAAACCGGCAAGTTGAAGATTGAGACACTTATGCAACATATGGGAATCTTCATTGAGGAAACGTTTTGACACACAGTGGCTTCATCAGTCCAATACAAATCAGAAGGGTATAAGGAGAGGAGGAGTGTCTTTAACTTGTCGTTTTTTTAAACCATTTATCACATCTGTCAGACACTGCAACATCATGTGATCTTGATACAAAGAATTCTTCAACCTTTGGACGAAGACCTACTTCGACTAGTGGATGGTACCACTATGACCCCACATCCTCCTGCTTCGCCTCACCTGACTACAGTATATAAGCCACATCTATGGCCCTATGCTGTACTTTCTACAAGAATGATGAACTGAACACATCGACTCCAGGCTGAGGGACTGATTACCTCAAACTCCTCCTCTCCTTACACCCTTCTGATTTGTATTGGACTGATGAAGCCACTGTGTGGCGAAACGTTTCCTCAATAAAGATTCCCATATGTTGCATAAGTGTCTCAATCTTCAACTTGTCAGTTTTTTAAACCTTTCATCACATTATCTCTTTGTACGTGTCATTATCTCTTTGTATCATTATTTCTTTGTATGTGTCATTATCTCTTTGTATGTGTCATTATCTCTTTGCACATGTCTTAAAATGAAAGAAACTCCTGCACAGTTTCAGGCTGACTGTCTCTGACATCTAAGCAAACATCTGCCAAAATTTCTCACTGGGTCACATTATAGTATTTGTATTTCCCAAATGCTTTTGATTTCACCCGCTAAATTTATAAAAAAAAAAAAAAAAATTATGTTTTAATTCATTAATAACAAAATCTAAGGCAAACTTTATTTCTTCCAGGCATCCGATATTTCCACATCTGCAATTTCTTCATGGAATCTTTTTCTTTTTAATACCCTCTGCTGCTTGTATTACAAACTATTACCACATTTCTGTTTGAACTTAGTTTTAAACTGATTTTACATGTTTTTCATATCATTATTCAAAAAGGTGAATCAAATGAGAAGCCACTACCCCAGTACTGAATTCTTTCTGTAAATATGTGGATAAACTGAAAGTCTTCTCTAGTACTACCACCACCACCAACCCCACCACTACTACTACTACTACCACCACTGTTGCAACCAGTACTACTCAACAAGCTAACATATCTGAAGATTTACTTACCATGGGTCAGTAGACCAACTGCAGTGCTTCTCTAATACCTGCTTTATTTTTTGTGTTAACACCTAACTACGTTCCTCTCTTATGTCTATATACAGTATATTATACTACCACCAGATATGACATGTCAGACTTGATAAAGAACGTTGTGAGGCAAAATGTATTCTTAAGTTTCCATATGCTGCTTGTGTGTCATTATCAGCTACAACTTGTCAACATTCCCATACCATGATTACCATTACTATTAAAGAACCTGCATAGCATGGGCCTAAAGGCTTACTGCAGTGCTAATCTGTTGTTTTATCATCTAAGCAAAGTTTACTGTAACTGCAATTTGTCTTTATTATACATGTACAGGAAGGCCCCGCTTTACGGCGTTTCACTTTACGGCGTTCCGCTAATACGGACATTTCAAATTATGACCAAAACTCACTATACGGCTCCCCCCACCTGACTTTCTAATACGGTCACCGTGCCCCACCCTGTTTGTTTACATTCTCCATGAGCTCAGTAAGCACTAAGTCTCTCCATTTTGTCTGGAAACTCCAAAATTTCAAATGTTTTTAAAAGTTATTTCATATTTTATATATACTCTGATAATTATACTTATGTATACCTGTACCTAAATAAACTTACATACATCGAGTCATTTAAATGTCGTATATTACGTTAATATACACATTTTCATTAATCCATCCATGATATTTTTTTCAAAATTATATAATAAACACGATGCATAACATATAAATAAGATAAATACACCCCACAGTAGAATAAATAAACATAAATGTGAGATGTGAGCAGACGACTTCCACAAGTGACGCCATAATAACAATACTCACCGAGTCTCATTAAATGTCGTATTTACGGTAATATACACATTTTCATTTAAACCATCCATGATATTTTTTTCAAAATTATATAATAAACACGAGCATAACAATAATAAGATAAATACCCCACAGTAGAATAAATAAACATAAATGTGAGATGTGACAGACGACTTCCACAAGTGACGCCATAATAACAATACTCACCGAGTCTCATTAAATGTCGTATATTACGGTAATATACACATTTTCATTAATCCATCCATGATATTTTTTCAAAATTATATAATAAACACGATGATAACATATAAATAAGATAAATACACCCCACAGTAGAATAAATAAACAAATGTGAGATGTGAGCAACGACTTGCACAAGTGGGGATAATAACAATACTCGCCGAGTCTCATTAAATGTCGTATATTACGGTAATAACACATTTTCATTAATCCATCCATGATATTTTTTCAAATTATATAATAAACACGATACATAACATAAAAGATGATAAATACACCCCACAATAGAATAAATAAACATAAATATAAGATGTGGGAGCCTCGTTTGTTACATAACTCTGCGCCTGTTACCTCTCATGTACTCATTCTTTCTCTCTCTCATTTTTTCGTTTTATCTCATTTACTTACTCCTGACCCTACATTAAGACTACAATATTTTAAGTAAGTAATGAGTGAACTGTATATACATTTTATCGCTCTGGGATGCTTAAATATCATAGAATAGTATGTGTGGGTGGGTGGCCTGGTGAGGTAGCTGGCTATTACATACATACCACACTTGATTTCTTACAATAAATACTACTTGTCTCACCTAGATTAAGACTATAAATATTTTAAGGTAAGTAATGAGTGCACTATGTGTGTATTGTACCTTTTTATTGTTTTTTGATGCCTGGTTCTATTGCTAACTTAATATATGTTAGTGTAAACTTGTTATCTAGTGTTTGTATGCATTTGTAAGTGGAAAAAAAGGGTGTTCCACTTTACGGCGGTTTCCGCTTTACGGCGGTAGCCTGGAACCTAACCAGCCGTATAAGTGGGGCCTTCCTGTATATATTATTGGAAGGACTGGGTTCAAGAGGAACTTGCCTATCATGGGCCAGTAGGCATACTGCAGTAGTCCTCTATTATGTGTGAGAAAGGTTAGGTTTGGGGATCTGCCTAGCATAGGCCAATAGGCCTTCTGCAGTGCTCATCCATCTGTATGTTCTGGTGGTACAGAAGGCTACATATCTGAAAAATACAAAGACACAAAAGGCACTAAATATGCCTGAATGTGTTCAGGGAAAGTGACTGCCACCTTTGCTTCATCCCTGGTTACTTCTGCTCCCCCTCCTTCCCTGTCTACCCCAGTGCCCCCCCCCACAGCTAGGCTTTTGATTATAGCCTTTACAAAACTTACTGACCTGCAACACACACATCCTGTAAGTGTTTCCCAGTATCTTGTGTGTTTCCCTGTAGAAGCAGTATCTGATGTCTGTCATGGAGACAAACATTTCAAAGGGATCATCTTCATTGATCTCTGCCAGTCCTGTCCTTAACCTGGCCTTGAGTTGCTTCATCCTCTTCTTCTTATTGGAGGAGAAAGCCAGCTCTTTCTTGTAGCACCAGAGAACGTTGGATTGTTTTAGGCTCGACTTGGAGAGCATGTGATGCAAAAATACAACCTAATAGTGTGCAAAAATAACACACATTAACAATATAATTAGTATGATGAAAAATACATCACTAAAATTCAACATAAACTTATAAATTCTGAAAAATATATAAAACATTATTAATTTATTTAATAGTTCAAGCCCATGATGATTCTCTACAAATCACTTGTTCTCTCTAGGATGGAATATTACTGTACACTAACAGCCCCTTTCAAGGCAGGTGAAACTGCTGACCTGGAGAATGTACAGAGAACCTTCATGGCACACATAAGTATGATAAAACACCTAAATTACTGGGAACGGTTAAGTCCTTGAATTGCATTCCCTGAAAAACAAGTGAGAAAGATACATTATAATATACACTTCGAATACCTAGAGGTGTTCAGTACCAAATTTGCACTCGAAAATCACTCCCTACAAAAGCAAAAGACTTGGCAGGAGATGCAAGATCCCCCAATGATAAACAGGGGCACTACAAGTATTCTAAGAGACAACACAGTTAGTGTCAGGGTCCAAAGACTGTTCAACTGCCTCCCAGCATACATAAGGGGGATTACCAATAGACCCCTGGCTGTCTTCAAGTTAGGCATTGGACAGACACCTAAAGTCAGCACCTGACATCGATTTGTGTGCAGCCAGCAGTAACAGCCTGGTTGATCAGGCCCTGATCTACCCCAAGGCCTGGTCACAGACCGGGCTACAGGGGTGTTGACCTCCAAATAAGGTATACTCCAAATAAGAGTGACAATAGACTACAATATAAATGATTTTACACATAAGGATTCATCCATAGAAATACAGTAAAACCTCTCAATAAAAGATTTTGACAATTTTAGAAGAAAGCAAATTTGGCTGAACAACAGTTGGAACTACTGGATAAAATGGAAAAAAGTCGGTAATTCCGAATTTTGTCCATAGTGACAGTGTGAACTTTCTGTTATAAAGAGTACTGCACACTCCTAAACCATTCATGGCTAAAGGTACACTTGTTTACAGGTTATACTTCCTGCTCACACCGTTTAACATTAAAAATAGAGCATTCTCATGGATCACAAGGAAATTAAGTGGCACACTTTTTTCTCCTGAATCCAACCATTCAGCAATTTTTAAGCTTTTTTACCTGTATTGACCACTTTCCCTTTTTTTTTTTTTCAGCATGTCACAAATGGGTTATCATCACACATGCATTTATCTTACCTGCATCAACCACACATACACCAAGTTTAAGTATGACTATTACTCTTCTTTGCATCTTCACTTACACTAAATTTCCTCTTTGATGCTGTGCCATGATTGATGTCCAGATAGCACGGGGCAAAAAAAAATCAGAAATATAGCAACAACACAGGAGTAACAGCATGGTATACATCCACAAGACAGGAGACGAGGAAGAGCGTGTAAACAAAGTTAGGTCTACCATGAAACAAGGATGCCCGAGGTGCATGGGAAGGGAACTGGCCTGCCTGTGCCACCACGATGGCTGGCCATGTCGGAGTGCAAGGTAGGAAATGGGTAGAACCTCTATGAAAGGCGGCAACCTTCGGGGCAAAAGACAGAAATATTAAAAAAAAAAATTCATTGCAAACAGATGGAAAAGCAGTAGGTGGAGACACAAAAGGTGATCTACTGTATCACAAGTCATAATACCCTACTACAGTGGACCCCCGCATAACGATCACCTCCGAATGCGGCCAATTATGTAAGCGTATTTATGTAAGTGCGTTTGTAAGTGTATGTTTGGGGGTCTGAAATGGACTAATCTACTTCACAATATTCCTTATGGGAACAAATTCAGTCAGTACTGGCACCTGAACATACTTCTGGAGTGAAAAAATATCGTTAACCGGGGGTCCACTGTATTACAAATGACCCATAGAATCTAAATGGGTCTTCCTAAAATATTGTAAAAATAAAAATTACAAAACTTGCACTTCAGAAAATGTCAATACATATAAAACTTGCACTAAAATATTCAATACACTTGTAACATTAAAAACCTAAGAGTGTATAAACAGAATTGTTCTATAACTGCTACTGTTATGATACAGAACTTTAGTTAACAAGCCTATATAAAATACATTTATTTAAAAGCAGCATGAAGTGACATACTTGGTCCCGACTCTTGTCTCCCACCAAAACCATGAGGGTTCTGTGCCCCAGAGCAGCTCCATTTTCATATGAGAATACGTATACGGTTGTCTAATTTCCGCTTCATCGTATATGACTGGGTTGAGCCTGGAACCAACCCTGTGGAAATAAAACAAGTGTTATTTAATGCTTGTTCTATCTACAGAATTATATGTACATTGTAGACAAATTAAAGTCTCATTGATTACATGACCACAACAAATGAGGAATCAGAAGCTGGTGCCATTTCCACAGATGTGGGTAGCAGTTAGTTAGTCTCAATACAAATACATGAGAACCATGGGGCTAAATTTAACATGGCAGTGATGAATCTATCTAGGGGCACAAAGGCTTCATTAAAATTTAGTGAGTTAGGAAAATAATGGCTGGTGCTACAGTTATGTTGTCATGGACAAATAATTACAGTGAAACCTGTTTAAGATCCATTGCACTGAAGTTACAGTGCAGCAGGGTCCATTCACTACATCAATGACACTACCAGACAATTCCTGTAGCAGACTCACTGAGTCTTTACCCAGCCAAATGTTTTGTCCATTTTGTCCAAATTCTGTCACAAGGAGATCTGTTATACCAACATTTTATACTAGTATACTTATAAAAAAAATCAGAGGTGGCATCATGAGTGAATCTGGTGTGAAACTGCTTTCTCTTTATTGTGCATGAGCAGCAGGGGTCACTGAAGCTAAGCTAAAACACTTGAACATCACGAAGGGCATGAAAAAACCTGCCTAGTTTGGGCACTGCACTGCTCCACTATTTTTATGTACATACTTAAAGTACCATTACACACCAGCAGTGCCTGCCAGAGACTGGATACCAAAAGCTCATATACATGCAGTCTTACACTAGGAAAATCTCATGTAATTACCACACTAGGAGGCCTGGTCTAGGACTAGGCCACAGATGTGATGATCCCCACACCAGAAAGGCTTCGTCTGGGACCAGGCAACAGGTGTGATGACCTCCACATCAAGAGGTTGGTATTAGAAACAATGATAATGGACACATCCAGGACAAATGTTGGACTGCAGAAACTTGCAATTAAGCAGTCAGTCCATTTCACTGAATGTACAACTGGACCAGATAGACGTCCAATACAGTTGATTTAGTCCACTTCATGGCTATTTTAATTGAACACCCCATTAACCCTTTCACTGTTTCGGTCGTATATATACATGTTATGAGCCACCGTGTTTGACGTATATATACTCAAAAATTCTAGCGGCTTCAAATCAAGCAGGAGAAAGCTTGTAGCCCACATGTGAGGGAATGGGTCTGTGTGGTCAGTGCGCACCACATAAAAAAATCCTGCTGCATGCAGTGCATAATGAGAAAAAAAAAACTCCGACTGTGTTTTTGGATTAAAACGCCAATTTTGTGGTGTATTTTCGTATAGTATTTATGGTTGTATTCTCATTTTCTTGGTGCCATTTGTTAGAATGGAAAACATATTATAGAAATAGAGGTGATTTTGATTGGTTTTACTATGAAAAGAACCTGGAAATGGACTCAAAGTAGGGGAAATGTTTGATTTTTGCCAATGTTCAAAAGCAAATAAATGATGTCATTGTCCAATAAATGTCCAACTAGCCATTTTAATATGCAGTCATGAATGGGTCGACATTATTTATACAATTATTACAATTTTGCAGTAGTCTGCATAACAATAAATCTTCTATCTTTTGTTTGAATAAAAATTCAAAATAGAAATCAAGAGTAATATCAGAGGAGCCTGGAGATGTTACTGATGAACAAAGAAAATGTTATTTTAGAGCCAGGAATGTTTGCACTGTTCATTCTGGATCCTATTTTGAAATAGGCATATTTTTTAATTTGCGTGAAATTGGCCAAATTGCCAAATTTCTAACCACACTATTGGGTAGTTGAAATCGGTAAATGGGCAGTTTCTTGTATTCAATCGATAGAACAAATGAAGTTCTAAAGAAATAGCTACAAGTTTGGTCGACTGGAACAATGGAATTAGCCGAAAATAGGGCTCAGAGTGGGCAAAATTGCCGATTCGTAAATATTGCCGAGGTCGCTAACTTTGCGAGAGTGTAATTTCATAAGTTTTCCACCAAATTTCATTCTTATGGTGTGATTACCATTGGGAAAAGATTCTGTATCATTTCATAGGAAAAATTCATTTTTTTTTTTCAAAAATTTTTCGACACCAGGAGACACCTCAGGATTTGGGGTTGCGACAGTCAAGGGGTTAAACATATATGTCGAGCCTTTATCCGGTGTGAAGCATGAATGGTGAATGGTGAATGTTGAGACAAGGAGAAGGCTAAAGGCAGTAGAAATATCATGTCTGAAGGCAATGTATGGTGTGAATATTATGTAGAGAATTCACAGCTTGGATATGAGGAGGTGTGGGGGTACTGAGGGGTTGCTGAGATGGTTCAGACATTTAGAGAGGAAGAAACAAAATAGAATGACTTGAAGCGTGTATAAATCTGTAGTGGAAGGATGGTGGGGTAGTGTTCATCCTAAAAAAGGTTGGAGGAAGGGGCGAGGGGCTTAGACTTTCAACAAACGTGCATGAGTATGCTATATGGGAACAAGTGAAGGCAAACGGTTTTTATGACTTGACGTGCTGTTGGAATGTGAGCATGGTAACGTTAAATGAAAGGATTCAGGGAAACCAGTTAGCAGGACTTGAGTCCTGGAGGTAGGAAGTACAGTGCCAGCATATTGAAGGAAGAATGGAGATATGTTGCAGTTTTTGAACTGTAGTATTGGCACACCTCTGGCAAGACAGTGATGGAACAAGTATTTCTTCTTTTTTCAGGTTACCCTGTCTCAGTGGGAAACAGCTGTTTTTGAGGTAGAACGTATGAAGTAAATTAAACACTGAGCTAATCAGGGTGCACGACTGCCGTAAGGAGTTCCAATGCTACCAACACTTGAGAAATAAATATCTCCTGAGTGTACATCATTTTATGCTGAGCTAGATTGTCTTAGATGGGAGAGGTTGTACTGGGATGGATTTGGTCGGGTAAGGTTGGATTAGGCTAAGTTAGGTTACATTAGATTGGTTACTATAGTTAAATAAGGGTCATTTTATAAATATTTCTTCTCAAAATAAAAAATACCCCAAATCATTGTTTTTCCAATTTGCACAAAATATAATTATCTTCATTATCACATTATCAATGGCATACAATACGAACATTTTGATAAATAAGACATATTTGCAACACTTGGGCAACTTTATTCTTGAAAATATTTTGCCTGACAACAGGCTTCCTCAGTGATACTAATGAATGCAACACTGGAAGTAGCAGTTGTACTGACGTCATCAGTCCCTCACCCTCAGTGAGGGACTGATCAGTCCCAAGTGTTGCAACTGTCTTATTTATCATTATTTCCATTGCACACACCAATCAATATTGCACACTATTTATTATAAACTTTAGCAAAGCTCAATAAATCCCCTAAACTTAGTAATTATCCAGGGTTATCATGACTTGGTGGATAGCACACTTGGTTCACATGCTGAGTGTCCATGGTTCAATCCCCGGCACAGGTGGAAATGCTCATGTTTCCTTACACCTGCTGTCACTATCAGTAAGTAAGCACCTTGGTGTTAATCACCTTACACTGCTGTCACTGTTCACCTAGCAATAAGTAGGTACCTTACATCCACTGTCACTGTTCACCTAGCAGTAAGTAGGTACCTTACACCCACTGTCATTGTTCACATAGCAGTAAGCAGGTAGTACATGGGTGTTAGTGGACTGGTGTGGGTCGCATCCTGGGGGACAAGGTTAAAGATCCATAATGGATTATTATTATTATTATTATAATCAAAAAGAAGTGCTTTTTGATTATAATAATAATGGAAATAACACAGTGTGATAAATGGATATGTCGCTTTGACTGACTTTCTTGGGTTATCCTAGGTAACCTACACATATGCTGCTATGTACGAAAACTTGTGTAACTGTATTTATGTGTACCTGAATAAACTTACTGACTTACTAACCCACAAGCTGGAGAATGAGATAGTTATACAACATCTGGGAATCTTTACTGAAGAAATGTTTAATTAAAAACTTCCAAATGTTACTCATGTGTCTCATCAACCTGTCAGTTTTCTAACCATTTACACCAACATTGACAGTTCCCGATGATCTACTGTATTATCCTGGTGGCTAACCCTCCCCCTGGGTTTAAAATACCAACCAAATCTTATCTAATAAAAAACCAACGCAAATTTCAAATTATGAACAAGGCCTCAATATAAACTTACTATGTGTTGTTTTTGAAGTTTTAGTGTCACCACAACTTATGTTGTAATGGGTCGTGCTTCTCAGGAGTCAGGAAAATATATATGATGCCCAAATTTGTCTGGAAATTGGAAATGAAATAAGGTTTCCTGCGGAAACACAAAAAGATTCCTTTACGAGGGAACTCACGTGTTATTGTTATTGATGTTTTTAAGGGCGACACCAAGGTGAGCCGTACTGACACCATCTGCTGCCCGGGTTCATATAATCTGAAGTTGTAAAGTAAAAGGACACAAATGCAACTAATCTGACATTTTATTGTGGCAACGTTTCGCTCTCCAGGAGTTTTGCCAAGCCGTTACAAACAGTACAATAAAATGTCACATTAGTTGCACTTGTGTCCTTTTACTGTACATATTGTCGGTAATTCTACCAACATTATTACAATCTGTCGGACACCGCAACGTAATTATAATCTGAAGTTAGAAATACAAGTGGCACAAGTGTTCCAGTACAGTAAAATGTAGTGTTTCGCCAAGAAAACATTAGACAGAAAAAATGCAAGTGGTAAAATTACTATAGTGGCAATATAAACACAAATGCAGTATAATGTGATCCTTTATTGACTACGTTTCGCCCACACAGTGGGCTTTTTCAAGTCACAAACAGAACTACCTGGGGTGAAAGGAACGCGAGTATTTATAGTCCGGCTGAGGTCAGGTGAAGAATGCTGCATCTGATGATGTACCGAGTGGGGTTATAGAGTCTAAAAACTTGGGTAGCTTGGAAAGGAGATTGGATAAGTTAGTGAGCAGACCTTCTACAGTGTTCT